TTAAAAAAGGAAAAAAAAAATCAGCTTTTACCAACAGCACAAAAAAGGCCTAGAGGATGGAACTATCATCCCAATGGTGAGGTCCTTATAGAGACCTAAAAGTTAAATGGAATACCAAGAAGAGCATCTGTTAAGTATCTTCTTTTTTCTTTTATACATTTTTTACATCATTTTTCATTTTTGCACAATGTATGCATTTTCATCTTGGTTATAGTCCAGCTATGAAAACAACCCGAACGCCCAAAAATAGATGACTGGATCAAGAAGATGTGGTACATGTACACAATGGAATATTACTCAGCAATCAAAAAAGATAAACTCATGCAATTTGCAGCAACATGGATGGAGCTGGAAGGGATCATGCTCAGCGAAATAAGCCAGAAAAAAAAAAAGAAAAGAAAAATACTGGATGGTCTCACTCATAGCAGGAATTTAGAAAACCTAAATAAGGGACCAGGAAAAAAACCTAATTATAATAAAGTAAAAGTCAAAATCAACAAGTAACTGTTTAGTACTTAAAACTGGCAAGTCTGTTTGGCATGTACAACTGGGACTTTTAGTAACTATGCAAAGCCAGCTAAATGATAAGAAGTGCACTTGAGAAAAAATTTCAACTGTGGAGTGTTTGTGCCTTGGATTCCCCACTATGCAATGAAGGTCAGTCGCCTACATAAACCTAAACAATGTGTGTTTAGTGGACAAGGTGGGTGCCAGGAAAGCAAGGGAAAGGAGGAAAAGGCAGGAATCCAGGCTCCTGGTCTTTTTTTTTTTAAGGTTTATTTATTTATGCATACAAGAACTGGGGTACAGGCCAGAGGTGTGGGGGAATGAGAGGATTCACCAGAGGCAGAGTGGGGAGCAGAACAGGCAGATTGACCGAAGTACACTGCTGAGGAGAGCAGTGGATGAGACAGGAGAGGTCTGCTGTGCCATGTGGGTAGCTCCCTGGCCAGGGATCAAACTCATGCTGCAATGGCTGTGGATAGCTGTATAGTGCTGCGTCTTAACCCCTTGCGCCACTAGGGAGGCCCCCAGGCTCCTGGTCTTTGATAGGAAGATCTTTTCTCTTTGTATACTCCAGTGGTGAAAAGAGGGGAAATCTGAGTCACATCAGGAGGGAGATGAGATTTCATGCCCTATTTTAGCTCAAAAGCTCCTTAGGAATTCAGCGTCATTCACTCATACACCCCACTTTGGGGCCATAAACTTCAAGGTCAGTGTGTAGAAGTCCAATTTCTCATCACTGAACACTCTTTCTCCACGACAGAATGTCTACTGAGGACACTCATAGGATTTGTCTGATAAGGCAGAACTTAGGAGCAGGTCCAAAGATTGCCTTTGTTCAAGAGAGGCTACAGCTTCTCCATAGGCTTATTTCACCAGAAATTGTCACTGCTTTACTCATCATCATTCAATTTAGGAATATACTGATTATTAAAAATTTTCTGCCCAAGGAAGCAGAATTGTTTTAATCTCAACATTGTGATTTTATGTTCTCTGTATCCATGCAAGTATTTACACTTAGCTTGTAACAGAAATAGGATCCTAGTAAAATATACAATGAATTTTAGAGATGAAAATGATCTCGAAGATGCTAGTCCTCTTCATTTCACAAAAGAAATGAGGTCTAGAATGATTAAATATTTCAACTTAAGTTATACTTCTGTAAGTAATCAAAAATATGATTCCAATAAAGAGTCAAGGCTGTAGGGACTTAGCAAATTAACTTAAAAGTTATCAGCTAAAAATGATTGAAGCTGGTAGTCAGGCTTCCATCTCTTCTGCTTTGGAGGCAGCTGTGATATGTCATGAAAAAGCAATATGATACCAGCACCCATTATGTTGGGTAGCCACTCTCATGCAGATAGACAAGTGTTCTGCATACCTAGGCAGGTAATGTGAGCACAGTGACGTGCTACTTTTTGAATCAATGCTGAGGCAGAAAGGATTTTGGGTTGTATTTCTACTTGTTTCTGGAATCTGATCCTACGGGCCACAGAATAACTTGCATGTTTCTTCCCCAGTCTCACTTGACTTCTTCCTAGCTCTTCCTCAGCCTGGGAGCCTCCTGTAAATCTAGAGCAGCATTCCTTTCAGGATGAGGTGTGGATCACCTAAACAAAAGCAGCTCACCCTAGGATCTTCTCATTTTTATTTTTTAATAAATGCGAGGGTCTTTTTAAAAAATATTCTTTCGGGCCTCCCTGGTGGCGCAAGGGGTTGAGACGCAGCACTGAGAAGCAATCAGCAGCCACTGCAGCACGAGTTCGATCCCCAGAAGACAGACCTCTCCTGTCTCACCCGTTGCTCCCCTCAGCAGTGTATTTCAGTAGATCTGCCTGTTCTCCTCCCCACTCTGTCTCTGGTGAATCCTCTTACCCCACACAGCTCTGGCCTGTATCCCAGGTCTTGTATGCATGAATATTAAAAAAAAAATACTTTCCTGGGTGCCACCCAGAAATACCCGATCAGAATTTGGAGTGGGGGCGGGGGGCCTCCCTGGTGGGACAAGGGGTTAAGACGCAACCTATGAAGCTGTCCTCAGTCACTGCAACATGAGTTCGATCCCTGGCCAGGGAGCTACCCACATGGCACAGCAGACCTCTCCTGACTCGTCCACTGCTCTCCTCAGCAGTGTGTTTTGGTCAATCTGCCTGTTCTGTTCCCCACTCTGTCTCTGGTGATTCTCTCACCCCCCGCACTTCTGGCCTGTACCCTAGTTCTTGTATGCATAAATAAATAAATCTTTAAAAAAATAATTCAGAGGGGAAGAGTAGAGTAGGAGTTTATGTTTCTATAGTTCTCTCTGAAGATGCTTATGCACAGTGAAGATGGAGAATCACTGGGTTTGCAGAGGAGTATCACTGACAGAGACTGCAATAATGCATGCTGGGGCGCTTTGAAAATAATTGAAATGAAACCATGATTAAAATAGAGTAGTAGCTTCCAAGCAATCTTTTCTTAGGAAATTGAATACTTGCAGGAATGCAGTCTAAAAACTATTAAACTGCCTTTATAATTTATTTTAATGTATTATTCCAGATACAATAATAATTTGGAAAACAGGGGACTATGTAAAAAGACAGCAAGATAGATACAACTCCAATGCCCGATAGATTTCTACTTTAAACATTTTGATGTAGTACCTTCCCACTTGCTACCCCCATCTCTCCTGTACTCTTGTTCCTTTCCTGCTCCCAACCCCTTAACCTCAGAGCCCACAGGATGATGGTTGATGGCCAGTTTTTGAAACTGTTTTGCATTACTGAATTGTCTGTTGCATGAAGTCCAATGTTTATCATTCTGACTTTGCTGCATATATTGTGTGCAAATTTCCCCCGTTTTGTTAAAAAAAAATTTTAAAGATTTATTTATGCATACAAGAACTGGGGTGTAGACCAGAGTTGGTGGGGGCGGTGAGAGAATTCACTAGAGGAAATAGGGAGCAGAACAGGCAGCTCTATTGAAATACACTGCTGAGGGGGCCAACAGGTGAGACTGGAGAGGTCTGCTGCACCGTATGTGTTGCTCCCTGGCCTGCTGGGGATGGAACTTGTGCTGCAGTGGCTGGCAGTCGCTTGATAGAGCTGTCTTTAACCCTTGTGCCATCAAGGAGGCCCCATTTTGTTAAAAATTTTTAAAATTTTCTTCAATTAAATTTTTTAAAAGAAATTCTAAAATGAAATAAAACATCCATTATTCTCAGATTTCTCCATGCCTCTAAATACAATAACTGTTTGATAGTCATCATCTTCATTAAAAAAAATACATTCCATTTCTCCACAATTTTATCAAATTTTTACACTTAAAAATTCTTATGTTTCTCTGCTTTAAAATGTTAATTTGCATTAGGTTTTAAATTTTTCAATAAACACAAATTCTTTAAAAATTTTTATTTATTCTGGCCTGATTATTAGTATTAATATATAATTGAATATAGCACACATTCTGAAATACTCAAATATAAAAGTAAAATTTTATGGAGATATATCTCAGCAAGATTGGTGCTTTTTAAAAAAATCAGATCTTATATCTATGGATGAAAATTGTTAATTGCTGGGGTGAGCCAGAGCTCAATGGAATTAATAGCAGAAAGTTCATCAAGTAAGTGTGGGACTTAAAAAAGTATACACCTGAAGGGTGTAATCCTATACTTCTAAATCACATAGTGTTGTACATCAATGTTATCTCAATTGAAAAAATAAATATTATAATTGTGTGCACTATTTGTAGAATATTAATAATGAAGATTATTGAAGTTATAACCATTCCATGTGGTTATTTGTATTCGGTGGTCATAAACAATGAAATAATACATCATTTTCACTGAGCAGCAAAGTTCCAAAGTTTTAAAAAGTGGACTAAAAGTTTCTGGATTAGTTTTTTGGCAAAGCTAATGAAAATGTTTCTCCTAGGAACCAGGAAAATTAGTTTTATTTGAAGATATAACATTGATCTGTGGAAAGTAAACACTGAAGCTTTCACCTCATTAAATGTAATGCGCATATATATATAAAATAAGATGCAGATTTATAAATCAGTGAGGAGGCTTTTTCAAGACTAGTATTTCAAATTGTGCCTTTATTTGCTGTCTGGAAGATTGTCTTACACTCCAGAATCACCTTAGTAAAATTAGCATGGATAAAAAATAAATTTTTCTTTTCTAAAAAGAATGGAGATTGCACTCGAAAAGCTAAAAAGAACCTGCAAAATTTTGCCTTAGCAGCAGACAATGCAATCTTAGAAGCAAGCATATATTGTAAGTAGAGAAATATAGAAACAAATTCTCTAAAAATGACTGATACCTGCAAACTTGGGAAGACATGAAACATGAGTGGTATGAGTACCTGTTTGAAGGCCACTAATAAATATAAAATATATAATATATAAACAAATATATAATATATAAAATATATAATTTATGTTATATATTTATATACAAATATATAAATATATAAGCAACAGATATATAATATGTAAAATATATAAGCATTGAACAGAATTACTTGTATTAGGTGCTCATAAAAATGTGTTGAAATAGAATTTTAGATATAGAAGTAGAAATAGAAAACAAGTTTGGGGAAAACAGAAATTTACAGCATTCACTTGTAGAACCTAGCAAAGATTTCTTTGCTGTAGTTCCACCTTTATTTTACCTACATTGTGACTCAACAATAGTAATACACCCTAGCCAGGATCCTTCATAAACTCATCCCATAACCTTAAGTCTCTCGTTCCAGAATTCCTAGTCAATATCCCAGCCTCCCTCTTAACTCAACTGCACACACCATTAGAAGCTGCAAGGGTCACATTAGTCTAAAACCCCAATATTCACCAGAAACCCTCCAACAACTATACAAACATACACTAACAAAAGTACACCCTAAGTTCAAAATAGTTGTATTCGTAAATCGATGTTTCATCTCATTTGTTGTAGAAATGAATGTATAAAACATATCTACTTTATGAAAATATAAATCATAAGTAACACTACCATCATCTTTAAAGCAAACTGAGACCAAGTGTTCTAGGTCACAGAAGTCACTGACAAGTTATTTTCTTCAATATACTGCTCTATATAGACTAATTTGGCATTTCCAGATGTATTATAAGACCATCCTTTGGATTTATATCTTGAATTATGTTCTTGTCATCAACAAAGTCCAAGACTAAAGCAAGTTCTAGTGAATTTCTCATGATATTACAGTTATGACTGGCTGATACACCAACCATTTCCCTTTGAGTCATAACCTCAAGGACCTACAGGTATCAGGAACTAATCTAAATGTGGAAGTAGGTTAGGTGTGTTCCATAACACGAAAACCACATTCTGTTCTAAAGGCACTCAGTTATTTTTTTTAATACTGTAAGCCAAACAAAAACATACCTAGGTTGAATTTGGCAAATCTATGAAGATGGAAATTTTGCAATTCTCATTGCTTTCACAACATATTCAACACATTCAAAGTATTTACCAAGTGCCCACTAGAAATAAGATATATATAATTAGAATGTGACAGTGTTTATTATTGTTGACACAACACACATGAGTACCTCCACATACTGTATGTGAGGTGCTAGCAAAGTGATCAGAACTATAGTTGACCATGGAAAAACACAGGGGTTCGTGATGCTGATGCCTGCGATGTCGAAAATGCACTTACAACTTCTGACTCACCCAAAACATATCTATTAAGCCTGCTGTTAAACTAAAGCCTTATCAATAATATGAACAGTTAATTAACATATTTGTGTATGTATTATATATTGGATTCTTACAATAAAGCAAGAGAAAATACATTTACAGTATTACAGTCAAGAGTCAACTGAATATTTACTGAAAAAATCCACAGCTAACTAGACCTGCACAGTTTAAACAGATGTTAGTCAAGGGCCAAATGTATATACAAATTCCAGATCAAATCTATATCCCTGACTTAACTACACACATACACAAAAAACACTGTTCAGGTGAAAAGAATATTTTATTTTAATACTTTAATATTGAAATCAGGTATCACATATTCACCAACTCTACATTCCTATCTCTGGAGATATTCAAAGTCAGATTAATATGAAGAAACACTCTTAGAAAATGTAGAACATTCTGTACTTCATTTTCAAAGTTAAGCCAGATCCTTTAAGAAGTTACTTCTTATTCACTGTATTGCATTGTTTATGTAATGACCTAGTATAATGCATCATTGAGGTATCATTTAAAGGGCAAATAACCTATACATTTGGATTTGTCATCCCAATTCCTTGGCATTCAATAACATAAGTGTCTTTAGAGGCATCCTCTTCATCTTCTGATTTCTTCACAGTAAATTTAGCCTGAAACCAGAAGAAAATTTAGTATATAAGGAAAACAAAGAAGGATAAAAAGATGAGCACCTAACTCATAAGTAGGTAGTTAATAATCAAACTCATTTTATTTTAAAGCTAGAAGCAAAAAGACCAAATGACTCATGAGAAATTCAATAGCCTGGACAGAAATGGTTCTGTTCCAGAAACATAGTTATTACTCAAATGTAAACAAACCTGTGGAGTTTTGTCAGTATAGTCAACCTAGCTACCTCATACCCACTGAATCAGAATCCCCAGGAAGGCAGCCTGGGCAAAGATCAAATTCAAATGCACTATACCTCCGCTAGCTACTTCCTAAAATTTTTCTATGACTTATCTCTGGAGCATTTATACTGCCTTTATCTTGTCACATAAATATCATCCTTTAATTTCCCTCAATATTTTTTTTCCAATTTATTCCCTAAATAAACAATAAGATTAACTTCAGGGAAAGCAGGTGGAAGGAAGTACTGATTAACATCTTCCTCCACCTTTATTGGGATTAACATTGTATTCTAGCCTTGACTGGTTAAAGTAAATGACTTGTTAATAAATTCATGTTTGGCTTTGAAATGGTTGTTAACTCTATCACTGTTTTCTGGAGATATGTTCATTCTAACAAAACTGAATTAAAAACTAAACAACTGAGTTGGCCAACTAAATTTGTGGCAAAAGAATTTCAAGTATGCCTAAAACCTTAGGATTCTTTGAAACACAATTTGAAAACCATTACTTAGGGTACCAGTGAATATTAATATTCACAAATCATTCCAGTTTCAGAGTTACATGGTAGTATACTGACATACAGTGGACATTAAAAATTAGTGCTGAGTTAATGAACACTGAATTCTGATCCAGACAGTCGAATTATTCATGTAAGTTACATGCATATTTTTTCCTTCAAATTAAAAGCATTTTATAAATATGAAACAAAGGAAAGTTAGGAAATAATTTCTAGGCTACATATAAACCTACAGAAAACTACAAAAATTTAAGGAGTCTTTAGAAGGAGGCTTATGGGACTGTAGCCCCAATCTCTGATTTTTATAGATGAACTACTAGCACCAAGGCACAGAAAGATGAAGCAGCCTATGTTATATTACTCTGTAAAACACAACAAAACTGAACAAGAAACCAGAGCTATACATTCCAGTTCACAGCACTTTCTGCTATGATTCATCACAAATAACATTTTTTTTGTTTGTTTTTTTATAATAAATTTTATTTTTATATTCCCCATACAATTGCAACCCCCTTATTTTGACCCCAATCCCTCCCCTCCAGCTCCCTACCCCCCAAAGAGTGTCTCTGGTTCATAGTTTTTTGTTGATTTTGATTTTCACTTTCTTATAGTTATTCATTTTCCTGGTCCCTTATTTAAGTTACAAATAACATATTAATGTCTACTACTTGCAAAGTCCTGTAAAAAGCGAAGACTTCAGCAACCAAAAAAGGTAAACTCAGGCCATTCACAGCAACATGGGTGGAACTAGAAGGGATTATGCTCAGTGAAATAAGTCAGAAGGAAAAAGAAAAATATCAGACAGTTTCACTTATAGGAGGAATATAGGGGGAACAAATAAAGGCTCAGGGAAAAAAAATAACAACAATAAAAAACACAACACAACAAAAGTGAACAGGTAACTATAAATCAGAGACATTCTGCAGGAGATGGGAGACAGAGGGCAAGAAGAGCAACAGAGGGCCTCCCCTGGTGGCATAGGGGTTGAGCACTGGGCTGCGAAGCTGCCCATAGCCTCTGCAGCGCTGGTTCGATCCCCGGCTGCCGGCGAGGGTCCCGCATGGCGTGCAGACCTCTCCTGCCGCCTGCTGCTCCCCTCAGCAGTGTATTTCGTCAGTCTGCCTGTTCTGTTCCCTGCTCTGGCTCTGGAGAATTCTCTCACCCTCTCATGCTTCTGACTGTACCCAGAGCTTGTATAAATAAACAAACAAACAAACAAACAAACAAATAAATAAATAAATCTTTAAAACAAAAAAAAAAAAAAAAAAAGAGCAAGAGAACTATGGTGATGATGCACGGATGAACTGGTGGTGGGAATTCTATGGGGACTACACCTGAGAAAAGAAAGCACTGCACAAAAATGAACAATGATGTAAAATATATATAAATAATTTTAAAAACAAACAAACAAAAAAGTAGACTTGAATGAATTCTTGGTCCCTGCTATCAAGATCACAGTTAAAAGGGAAGAGAGAGAACTAATAGATACAAATACAGGATAAGTAGAATAGAAAATACAGTTAACTCTCTCTCAATAGCAAATGTAATTTGCCTTCAGTATCAGTCTTTTACAATGTAACCAAAATCTATTTATGCTTTTTAATAACAACAAAAAGTACATACTATTAAGAATCATAAAAATAAAATGTTAGAAGCAGGGCAACAGTGACTGTGCTGAGTGCAATCCTGTAGTACTTAATTTCCTTTTTATTAGTGTGGATTACTGTAATAATTCTTTTAGATGCTTAAGGTTATCACTTTTCTTCACATAAAATTTTGAATTGTAAATTTTATATTTCATTATAAAATTACATTATAATGAGTATAACAAAATGAAAATGTTACATATTACTGAAAATGGCAAGAAATAAAGCTACATGCATTAGCTATAAAAGAAATGTAAGGAAATATTTTTAAGGTAGATGGAAAACACCTAAATGTCAACAGTGGGGATATTACGGGCAGGTTTTTTTGTCTATTTTCTATAAGGAAATCATATTAGTTTCAAATAAATATAAATTTTTACAATTTTTCAAAATTAAGAATTCAGAGCCTCCGGTGGCACAGTGGCTTGAGCGCAGCGCTTGTGAAGCTGTCCACAGCCTCTGCAGCACTGGTTTGATTCCTGAACGGCCAGGGAGATACCCACATGACGCAGCAGACCTCTCTTGTCTCGCCCGCTGCTCCCCTCAGCAGTGTATTTCAGTCAGTCTGCCTGTTCTGTTCCCTGCTCTGTCTCTGGTGAGTCCTCTCACCCTCCCGTGCCTCTAGCCTGTACCCAAGCTATTGTATAAATAAAATAAATCCTAAAAAAAAAAATTAAGAATTCAGTAGAAAAGGTATGAATGTAGGTTTATACAATGTTAGATTCCTTTTTACTAAAAAATTCAGCTCTTTTCTTAGAAAGAAAACTGATGAAGGGGCCTCCCTGGTGGCTCAATGGGTTAAGTCTCAGCACTATGAAGCTATCCACAGCCACTGTAGCATAAGTGCAATCCCAGCCACAGAGATGACCCACATGGCATAGCAGATCTCTCGCCCACTGCTCCCCTTAGCAGTGTATTTCAGTCAACCCGCCTGTTCTGCTCCCCACTCTGTCTCTGGTGAATCCTCTCACCCCCCCACACCTCTGGCCTGTACCCCAGTTCTTATATGCATAAATAAACAAGTCTTTAAAAAAAAAGAAAAAGAAAACTGATGAAGGTCAGGATTTATATAGCAATATGATTATTATTACGTTTTCTGTTTATTAAAATTCCACCCCAAATTGGCTATGATCAGTATCAACCACATTTTTTGTTGTAATACTTACCTTTGCTAGTTGTTCAGCAAAATGTATAGCCGTTTGCGTATGGAGTGTAACTGGGCCTGTTTTTATTCTGGAAACTCCATTGGCTAACGCCATGAAAATGATCAGCTATTGAAAAAAGAACCAAGAAAAAACTCTCACACATTCATTAATACTTGGAGTGAAAATTATATTGTTTTCCACCTGAAAATACTATAAACATCAAAATAGCTAAAAAAGCATTTTTATTCACTTAGGTTTTCAGAAGTCTAAGAAGATAGGAAATCTGGATTACTCAAAGCCTGTGGTACAGAAACTTTCAATAGCTGTTCTCAATAGAGATTTTAAATTAATGTTTAACAATAAAATATAGAGTTGAAAGTTAATACATTTAATCAGACCAACTATCTCTGCAAGTCAGAGATATTTTACAAACTCCTTCCACTCTTGGCTGCAGGCAGCAGCGCAACCCAGCACTCAACCGCTGCGCCACCAGGGGAGGCCCTCCTTCCACTCTCTTACATGTTAACTGGTAAATAACTAACACAGAATTACCGAGATTGTAGACTTGGACAAGAAGGAAGAGACTAGAAATTAGGAAAATTTTCTGAAGAAGCTGGTCAAAAAATCTTGAAAAATAAATCTGTAAACATAAGACTGCTGATTTGAGATTAAGGACAGAAAAATGTAGTACAAAATCTACCAAGACAGTAAATCATAAGAAATAATCTTAGAAATATGCACTAGCATTTCTCAATGTGAGTAGATGTGTTAAGTTTGAGAGGTCTGTGAAGAAATTATTTTAAGATAGAAGGAGTGATCAATTGCGCCAAATGCCTTATAGCAAAGTCAAGCTGAAGGCTGAAATTTGAGGGCAATAAATTCCAGAATATTTGAAAAACTGACTGAATAGATGGCACTCAATGACTGACAGTTTAATGATTGAAATTTATATTCAATCTAATTACCAAATATGCAAATCTAACAGGTTCAAAGGCTTTTTCCTAACAGTGTCATTACCTGGTCTTGTAGATACTCATCCACAGCACCACCATGTCTAAGATTTGCTAAGAGCATTTCAGCAGCATCAATTCCAACCTTGTCTGCATTTACACCTGTGACAGGAACAATGAAAAAATGAATAACTAAGAGGCCAAAAAAATATATATCCTAGTTAGCACTGGTACAATATTTCTTAGGTCTTTGAGCTATCCCAATATATTTTAGGACAAGATCTTTATGTGTACTTCATCTTCTGAGAGCTTAGCATAATGCAAATACTTTTCTGGTATATGTTTTAACTGCTTTTTTATCAAGAGAAACTAGTCCTTAGCTCCAATATTCATGTTTCATAGTTCAGGAACACAGGTCAGTGACAAACTTTCATGAAATCATGTTGCATTCTGAAAGCTGTTAGCCTTCCTCATCTCAAAATCTGTAACAGAACCATAATGTCTGCAGAAATCTGCATATTGCTTCTTTCATGTTTCTACCACAGCAAACTTACAGAGAGCTGGACCGCCAGGGATACAATGAATAGTCTAACAATATGAAATCACAGTCACTCCATTCCTTGGTGTAGGCTTTCTGCATTTGTGACCTAAATTGCTATCACAGACTCTCGTCTTCCTGTCTCCTATATGGCCTTTCTCTAATCCTCCATGCACAGATACCAGAATTACCCTACCTGAGATCTGCTATTACATCTCTTCTTAAAATCTTTGTTACAGGATAAACCCTAACTCCTCCACATGGTTAATAAAATCCTTCAAAATCTGGTCTCTGTCAACCTCTCTAAGCTCATCTCTCTCCACTTCACCCAGATCCTCCACAAACCATGTATTATCATTTTAGTTGCCTGAACACAGAACTCTTTATGTTAGACTTTCCTTTGTTCTTCTTCCTTAGATCTCACTTTTCTATGTGGTTAATTTATATTTATCTACAGAACCTATGGTAGAGAATCACTGAATAGCAGAAGCTAGATCTGGAGTCAATCAGGCCCCAAAAAAGAACTAACTATTCTCCTTGTGTTGCTAAGGCACCCTGGGGATACCACACTCACAGCACTGACCTGTCTCCTCTCCCAGACTATGCCAGGAAGCAGGAGGAGTGGCTCTCATTTCTGAATCCCAATACCTGGCACATGCTGGTACCCAATGATAATAGAAATAAAATGAACTAACATTCTACCCAATGCCTGGCAAGCACTCATAATGTCTGCTCTATATTGTGTGTTATTTTTATCTTCTCAAGACTGTTGTAGATACCAGATGCCTTCTTAAGATTACTGGAGATACTGCACCTAACACATTAATATGTGTTTGATCACTAATTCTCAAATTTCACTATACCTTAAAGGTAGAGTGCCTAGAGAGCTTGTTGAAACAGATCCTTTGACCCTACTCCAAGACTCTAATTTAGTATTTTTCTAGTTTTTCAAAAATTAATTTTTATTTTCTTACATTGTTGTAGACCCCATAAACACTGCCATTTCTACATCCAATGATGCTATATAGGCATACAGAGGGGAAGGAAGAACACAAGAGAATATGGTGATGGTTCATGGGTGGTAAGCTGGGGAAAAAGGCTGAAAATGTGACTCTAAAATAGAACCTTTCAAACCTGTAATCTGTCATTCTATCTAATTCTAATCTTGACAATTAAAAGAATTTCACACAGTATTGTGAAGTAAGGACTCAATCTATACCTCGTTTACCAAGTGATGATCCAGCAAACAAACACCCTGTGGATGTCTCAGCAATAATGCTATATAGGAATAGAAAAAAAATATATTACTGCCCATGCAATAAATATTCATTGTCTATCTTCATCAGGGCATTAGTATCCTCCACCACTTCTGACACCTGATTCAAATCCACTCACAGGTAAGAAATGGCTTTCAGAAGCTACATCACAACTCTTAGTGGTACCATTTTACTGTACCAGTATTTTAAGATTACCTTGAATGAACAGGAATCTCAACAGAGATCTTTGGCTTTGCTTTATAATCTTTATATATTATCATATGTAAAGTATTTTCAACCCTTTATTAGAAATGCTGAGGAGATTTTAACATTCAAGTATCTACAAGTTACCATGATACTTCAAAAATATCAATTAAAGAATTTTTATAATACTTATATCAATAATTCCTATTTGGATTAATAGTTATTTCTCTTTTCTAAAGAAATCTTTGCCGTGTTAAAATTTATTTGCTTTTACATATGAGGTAAAGAAGAGTAAGTGGGGGGCCTCCCCGGTGGCGCAGCGGTTGAGCGCTGGGTTGCGAGGTTGCCCGCAGCCTCTGCGGCGCCGGTTCAATCCCCAGCTGCTCCCTGGCCACCGGAGGAGGGTCCCACATGGCGCGCAGACCTCTCCTGCCGCCCGCTGCTCCCCTCAGCAGTGTACTTCGGTCCTTCTGCCTGCTCTGCTCCCCGCTCTGGCTCTGGTGAATTCTCTCACCCTCCCGCGCTTCTGACTGTACCCAGTGCTTGTATAAATAAATAAAATGAATAAAAAAAAGAATGAATAAATAAATAAATCTTTAAAAAAAAAAGAAGAGTAAGTGGAAATATTTCTCTTAGAATCAGCTTCAAAGGCTAACATCTCATTAACAAACATTTAAGTTCACTGTATAAATGAAAGGTCTCTTACAATGTAATAAAAGACAAACCAGGGGTCTCCCTGGTGGCTAGGGGTTAAGTCTCACCCCTATCACTGCAAAGGCCCACCGAAACAGCCTGAGTTCGATCCCCGGCCAGGGAGCTAACCCACATGGCTCAGGAGACCTCTCCTGTTTTGCCCACTGCTCCACTTAGCAGTGTATTTCAGTAGATCTACCTGTTTTGCTCCCCACTCTGTCTCTGGAGAATCCTCTCACCCCCTGCACCCTCTGGCCTAGAGCCCAGTTCTTCTACACAAAAAGAAATAAAATCTTAAAAAAAAAAAGATGATTTAAAAAAAAAGACAAACCAGGGCCTCCCTGGTGGCACAAGTGGTTAAGACATAACCTATGGGGCCTCCCCGGTGGCGCAGCGGTTGAGCGCTGGGTTGGAAGCTGCCAGCAGCCTCTGCAGCGCCGGTTCGATCCCCAGCTGCTCCCCGCCCACCAGAGGAGGGTCCCACATGGCGCGCAGACCTCTCCTGCCGCCCGCTGCTCCCCTCAGCAGTGTACTTCGGTCCTTTTGCCTGCTCTGCTCCCCGCTCTGGCTCTGGTGAATTCTCTCACCCTCCCGCACTTCTGACTGTACCCAGTGCTTGTATAAAATAAAATAAATAAATAAATCTTTAAAAAAAAATAAAAAAAAAAAAAAAAAAAAGACATAACCTATGAAGCTATCTGCAGCCACTGCAGCACAAATTCAATCCCTAGCCAGTAAGCTACCCACATGGTGCAGCAGACCTCTCCTGCCTCATCCACTGCTCCCCTCAGCAGTGTATTTCAGTCAGTCTGCCTGTTCTGTTCCCCACTCTGTCTCTGGTGAATCCTCTCAACCTCCACACCTCTGGCCTACACCCCAGCTTTGAATGCATAAATAAATAAAGAAAAAAGAAAAATCATCCTCAGATTAAAATTCAGAATAAAATAACCATCTTATTTATTATATTGTTTTAGGTAGAAATGCCCTTTAATGTATCTTCCCCAAAGTACAAATTTAAACAAAAAAGTTTTTAATTTAAATAGAGCAAGTATTGCAGGGCTCTCCACCAATGTCTTGGAAAAAGCAAATTGTCTCACATTATTCCACTTCCGTTGCCAAAAGCTTGGTCTTTAGGTTCCTGAATGGGCTGAATGTTAACATACAGGTCCCTGATCTCTTTTCTGATGCACCTCACAGCTGCCGCCGCCATATCTTTTGCTACCTATTTTGGCAAGACAGAAAAATAGAATAAAATGAATGATTATTTTGACAACTAATTTCAAGCCTTTAAAAATATATAAAGGAGGGGCCTCCCTGGTGGCGCAAGGGGTTAAGCACCATACTATGAAACAATCCGCAGCCTCTGCAGCACAATTTCGATCCCCTAACCGGCCAGGGAGCAACCCACATGGCATAGCAGAGCTCTCCTGCCTCACCTGCTGCTCCCCTCAGCAGTGTGTTTCGGTCAGTCTCCCTGTTCTGTTCCCCACTCTGTCTCTGGTGATCCTCTCACCCCCTGCACCTCTGGCTTGTACCCCAGCTCTCGTATGCATAAATAAATAAATCTTAAAATAAATAAAAATATATAAAAGAATCAGAAACTTTTACATGCATTATCTAAAAATCTGATTTTCAAGAGTAAAAATTATTGCTCTTTCTAAAAGAGGCCTCAGGTGCTCTCTGAAAAAAATTCACTTAACCACAAAACTCTACAAAATCACACAATTCAAGATATTCAAATCTTCATGTTCATTTTAAGAACATTTGTGAAACTGCCCAGGCCATCAAGGGTAAGTATATGCAAAAAGCCTCCAAGTGTCTAAAGAATGTCACTTTATAGAAGCAAGACATGCATTCCATAGCTGCAATGGTGGCCCTGGCAGATATGTCCTGGTCAAACACTGGAGCTGGACAGTGGTTGGTAGCCCACAAATTAATTTTTATTGTACATGTTACAAAATGCAGATCGTAACGCTGGACTTAAGAAATTAGATGGAGATTCTCGGGCCATTGAGCACATCCAGATGGACAATGCCCCTAAGAGGCAGCGTACAACTTTGGGAGCTCACGGTGGGATTAACCCATACAAGAGCTCTTCTTACCACACTGAGAGGATCCTTACTAAGAAAGAGCAGATTATTGCACAGAAGAACAAGATATCCCAGAAGAACCCAAGCAGAAACTCATGGTCCAGGAGAATACATAGAGAGCATTGAATTTTAAGAAAAAAATTTAATGAAAAGATTTGTCAAAACATTACATTTTTGGCCTTCCTGGTGGCACAAGGGGTTAAGACGCAACCAATGAAGCTATCTGCAGCCACTGTGGTACGAGTTGGATCCCCAGCCAGGGAGCTACCCACGTGGCGTAGCAGACCTCTCCTGCCTCGCCCGATGCTCCCCTCAGCAGTGTGTTTCCGTCAATCTGCCTGTTCTGTTCCCCACTCTGTCTCTGGTGAATCCGCTCACCCCCCCCATACCTCTGCCCTGTAGCCCAGTTCTTGTATGCATAAATAAATGTTAAAAAAATAAACATTACATTTTTAATAAATTAAAATTTAAATGACATCATAGTTATCAAGATATACATACCATCTAGCCAACTTACTTTAAATGGCAAAACACCAGCGACAAAAGCTCTTCCATATATCTTAGTCACAGAGCCACGGTCAGTTAAATTTATTGGGTTCAACTGTTTAATTGGTGACATTCGAACAATCACTTCACCACCCCCTTTTGGGTAGTAGCCCCTATGAAAAGTATGACAAGCATTCACATAAACTGCATAATGAAAATAAAGCTCAGTATTTATAAAAACATGACTGATATCCAAACATATGACTCATGTTAGAAATGAAAATGTTTGAGATTTGTGTTTCCAATGTTAGCCTCAAACTACATGTGACTATTTAAATTTAAAGTACATAAAAATTAAACTTCAGCTCCCCATCACACTAGCCAGATTTCAGGTGCTCAACAGTCACATGTGGCTAGGACTACCATTTGGACAGCACAGACAGGCAGCATTGCTGTCAAGTTAGAAAATTCTATTTGACATTGCCATTTAGAATAATAGCCCTTAAATGGCAGACCTTTGTTTTGTTCCTGCCAAATTCCTAAAACAATGTCTGGGACATAGCAGGGCTCAATAAATAAAGGATGAATATTTAAGTAGCTGAACACTAGTAAAATTTTAACTGAAGTATTTAGTTCCATTTATACTACAGAAGATGCTGAGAATACCCAGAGAGAGATGACAAAGCTCCTGATTCACAAGCAGTTCCCCATCTGATCAGCTGGCCCCAAGTACTCTCCAGGCACTCTCTGAGGCACACTTAGGGACAGTTCACACTAGAAATTACAAGTTTTGTTTTGAAACAATAAAGGATTTCCAATTTTTAGGAGAGAAGAAGAGGAAAAAACATAAGCAAAGACATGAAAGTCAGGAGACACTAAGTATGTTTAAGGAACAGCAAGAAACCTAATAGCAGTTAGAATATATGGTGTGTTGAAAGGCAGGGAAGGAGAATAAGGTAGAGGGATATTCTTGGAACAATACTGCAAAGCACTTAAACTCCCCACCAAGAAATCAAGCCTTGTAATTATGTGACAGAAGGGAAGACTTAAATGCCTGTTGCGTTTCTCAGAAAAACAATTATGATTGCATTGTGGAAGTAAATCCCTTTTATGACCCTGCCTACTCCACTTGTCTGCACACAGTGAGTCTTCAGTCTGTGCTGAGTACGGAATGACACTGAAGATGAAGGTGTTTCAGTAGAAATATTTCTCCCAAGAAACAAGTGTATATCCTAGGTAACTGCTTTCAAGCTTCCACACCCCTTCTGGTGAATGTTTCCGAGTCACAAAGCATAATTATCTCCTACAAGGAATCTAAAGTATAAATTGGGTGCCAAAAGGGTAGTTTCCTAAGATCTAAGTTTTCTAATAGTTTTCACATAAGTAGTGGGTCAAAAGACTGAGAAACAAGCAACTTACCTCATTTTAATGTCACAATTAAATCTGAAACCAAATTTTTCAACAATAGGCTTGAAAACCTGAAAAATAAGTTTGTCACTTTAACTACCAATATTCATCGATTCAACAAGTATATCTGTTAAACAGAAGCATTGAGTTAGTAATGAGATAGTATAAATAAACAGCAATATATATGTTTAGGCTAGTTCCATTTTCAAACAAAATAACAGGCAGGTAATTGAAATTGAAAATTCAACAGTTTATCAGGCTGTGCAAATCTTATCTGATGAAAGAGGAATCAAAATTCAGAATATTTGAACTCAGTCATTATTTTACGACAAAGGCCAATACTTCCTAAACCTTCCCAGAATAGTATACTGTACAAAATGAGAATGTGTGGATAAACAGCATTCCATCCTGCCTCCTCATTTTGTCTTATACAGTTGAATTCTTACTGCATATGCAATGTTTTATTATTTTTCCATTTAAAAAGTATATAAACAGGGCCTCCCTGGTGGCGCAGCGGTTGAGCGCTGGGTTGCAAAGCTGCCCGCAGCCTCTGTACTGCCAGTTCGATCCCCGGCCACCGGGCGAGGGTCCCACATGGCGCACAGACCTCTCCTGCCACTCGCTGCTCCCCTCAGCAATGTACTTCGTCAGTCTGCCTGTTCTCTCCGCTCTGGCTCTGGTGCATTCTCTCACCCTCCCGCACTTCTGACTGTACCCAGTGCTTATATAAATAAATAAATCTTTAAAAAAAAAAAAAAGAATATCTTGGCTATTCTTAACCTTTAAAAAATAAAATAAAAAGTATATAAACAGAGGCACTTTTCCAGTATCATAAAATTCTTCCTACACAATATCTGAATGACTGCATGAGATTCTAGCATGATTTCCCTAACTACCCTCCAAGTTTTCCTTACTACATAATAATATATATTATATAATGACAATTACAGCATATAATGCGCTAGTCTAATACTTTTGACATTTATATTTATCTTATGCTGCATCTTGTAATATATAATTAGGGTTATTTCCTTGTAGTGGAATAACTAGATAAAGGGAAATAAAATTTAATTTTCACTGTCCTATCAAATTGAATTTAAAGATTATACCATCTATTAAAATGGTAAAAAAAAAAAAACTAAAACAGCCTTCTCGTTAAAAGGAGAATATCAAGTGCTGGGGAAGAAGCAGAAGAGCTATAATTTTCATATAGTGCTAGTAAAAAATACAAAATAATGTTATCGTGTTGGATGCCAAAACAATTTAGGAGTGTCTCATAAGGTCAGACATATATACACTGTATTATAACCCCGCAATCCTTCTACTAAATACTTACCCAAGAGTAATTTAAACTTATGTGCCCACACAAAAAAACACCTGTATGCATTTATAATGGCTTTATTCATAACTGCCCCAAGTGAAAACATCCCAAATGTCCACTCAACAGATAAATGGATGAACCAACCATATAGGATATCCATGAACAGAATACGGCTTCACTTTTATTGCTGATACAAACAAAACATGAATCTCCAAAATATTATATTATACATAATATATTCCATCTCTATGGAATACATGCCACATGTTTCATTTTTTTATATGATTTCTGGGGAAAAAAGGCAAACTGACAAAAAACATCAGTAGTTGCAAAAAACTGAGGGGATAAGGGGGATGTAGGAATCACTGCAAAAGTATGTGGAGGAATTTTTCACAGTAATTCAATATCTTGATTATAGTAGCTGGTTCACAAACATATATCAAAAGTCATAGAACTTACACTAAAAAGACTGAATAATTACACCAAAATAAATCTGGAGGGGAAAAAAAGATACCACTTTCCTCTCACTAGTTGCATGGGCATAAATATGGTTTTATCATTTTTAAAATGTACAGTCACAATATATTTAATTATTTAATTTGACATGGTAAGAACATTTAACATGAGTTCTACCCTTCTGATAAATTTAAGTGTATAAAAATTATAATTGACTATGGGTACAACATTATAGAACAAATCTCTAGAGCTTATTCATCTTGAAACATTATGTACACTCATTAGTAACTCACTGCTTTTCTCCAGCTACCAATCCACTCTTTCATTCTATGAATTTGACTACTTTAGAGTAACCTCACATAAGTAGAATCATGCCAGAACTGGCCTATACACGACTGGCTGATTTCACTTAGCATAATACACTCAAGGTCCACCTGTATAGTCATATTCCAGAATTTTTTTTAAAGGCTAAATAGTATTCCATTGTAGACATCACATTTTCTTTACTCATTCATCTAGTAATGGACATTTAGGTTGTCTTCACATGTTGCAATAATGAACAGTCTTGTGGTGAACATGGGAATTCTAAAATATCTTTGAGACTCTGATTAGAACTCTTTTGAATACCCAGAAATGGAACTGCTGAATGATATGGTACTTCTATTTTTAATTTGTTGTGGAACCTTCATACAGTTTTCCACAGGAGCTGTACCATATTGCAGTCCCAGCTACAATGTGCAAGGGTTCCAATGTCTCCATATCCTCACCAACACATGCCAAATGTAGTATTTCATTCTTGTTTTGAGTTTTTCTTCCAAATTATAATTGCTATATTTATAAAATTACTGATTTATATAGTAAATGTTATATGAAATATACACTTCAATAATTACACTGGCAGTTTTTAAAGAATTCATAATGAACACTGCTCTAAGATAAAACATAACATCTAAAGGAAGCATAATCTCTCAGTCTCTCCTATAATAGGAATAGACACGAGGAACAGATATATACCAAAAAACACTGAGCGTATATTTAAATAGAGAATGGAGATTCAGAAGGACATACAAGATAATCTTAGTTCATCAACATTACCATTGCTGTGTAATCAATCTGTGGTGCCATTTCAGCATTTGTGCCACCTTTCAAACGAAGTTCTGATGGAGAAGCAGCAAAGAGAACACAGGGCATGGAGACCTGCATCAAGAGGCACACGCTCCTAAGGAGAGGGTAGAACAGCCTTAGCTACGTTTTCCTTTTGAAGTCTCAAGAAAGCACTAGCACTATATACCACATTTGCTGAAGCACAGACAACTGAGAAGGTGGGTAGATGCCTTCAAGTTTAAAGTTAAAAACCACTTCAGTATCTGAAATAAAATCCTGAATCCCAAAGACAATACTTCACAGAAGGAACTAGTCTTAAATGAAAAAGCAATCCTGGGGTCAACTCCAATAATAAACGTGTAAGCTGTATGATCTGAGGCAGTCCTTAACATTCTAGAAATAGTCAAATGATTGTATGTAAGAACCCAATAAGCATAAGGAACATTCCAGTAGCAGGTTAAGGTATAGTTCCTATTGCTGTGGAGTACATGAGATGATAGAATAATAATTTATAAAGACTCAGCTATGAGTCTTATCATCACACAGAAAATGTTTTAAGAAAATACTGCTTGTTATACTCACTTCCGCTTGGTTATATAATAGTCAAATAAAGCAAGAAACTATGACAAATAATTACAGAACATGAACTACTTTATAAAATACTTGGTCAGATTTTCCAAATGAGTCATTATCTCCCTTCTCCAGAGACAAACAAAAGCAATTATATTCTTAAACAGATTAGAGTTTGGAGTTTAACATAGCCTCTACACACCAAATGACAGGCATTTACTTAACTTTCTTGTGGCATGTAGAGCGCATGCATTAGAAACAGAAAGTCTCAAAAGAAAGAAAAAGAAGTAGAAAGTCTATCACTGAAAATGTATTTCAGTATTTCAATAAATATTTAGTAACTGTGTAATATGTCAAGCAACCTAAAAGGAAAATGAATGCAATATAATTCCTCTTCTGAAGGAGCTGAATCTAGGAGCAAATAAAAAAAAAATTCAGAAATTTTAAATAGGGCCTCCCCGGTGGCGCAGCGGTTGAGTGCTGGGTTGCGAAGCTGCCCACAGCCTCTGCAGTGCTGGTTCGATCCCCTGCTGCTCCCCGGCCACCGGAGGAGGGTCCCATATGGCGCACAGACCTCTCCTGCCGCCCGCTGCTCCCCTCAGCAGTGTATTTTGTCGGTCTGCCTGTTCTGTTCCCCGCTCTGTCTCTGGTGAATTCTCTCACCCTCCCGCGCTTCTGATTATACCCAGTGCTTGTATGAATAAATAAATCTTTAAAAAAAAAAAATTTAGTTTAATATAAACATAGGTTTAAAACTACTAAAATTCTCATGGTTGACATTCTCTGAGGAATTCAACACATAAAGTATTTCTTCTCCACCCTAAAAATCAGAGTCTGAGAATAGTAAAGAAAACCTTAATTTAGAAGAATAAAATCAAAGGTGGACACTTGAGAAAATATGTGGCACTGCAATCACAGTCAGGGATAAAAATGTTCGAATGTAAATAAAACATATTTTCTTCCTAGGAACAAACTTTTTTTTGGTTGTCTAAATGGAGCTGGATTGTCAATTTAAAAGTCATTTCCCACCCATTCTAGTTGATTAGCAGACAGGAGACCTACATCCTAAGTCTAGCTCTGCCCCCGACTTGTGGAAATCACTTAACACCTGAGTTTTCATTCTCATCACAGGTCTCATCATTGAGACTTTCCGCTTCTAATGCAAAGTAGAAAAAGGGTTGAAATACAAGGTTTCTACTTTTCCTCTTGCATTTTCAAAATTCTATGATTCTGTTTTAGTTCAATTTTAGATAGCTCATTAACTCCTTTCCCCCCTTTTTGTACAAGAAAATTCCCATAACAATATGCTGACTATAAAGATATTAAAAAATTTTTAATCCCCTTGAAAAGTTCTCACTTAGCAAACTTCACCTTAGGCCCAGCAACAGGTACCTTTTCATAGAAGTTGAGTCACATCACAATTCAAATCTCAATGATCAGTAAACATTTTCTTTAACTAAAGAATCAATCCATTAAAAGTCATTTCTGAAACAAACTGCATCAGGTTCCCAGCACTACTTCTTATTTTATCAAAAATCCTAGTAAATGGGTAAGACTTTGACAAAAGGAGGTTGCTTACAATAGCAACCAGCTAAATAACCAGAAAATACAAAAGTTGCTCCCCATGTTTTGTCAATAGGAGGGATTCCTGAAAAATAATAAAGGCTCCATGTAATTGTTAATATCCATTTTCCAATGGGTAAAGCCAAGATCACACCTGAAAATTTCTAAATAGGGTTGCCTAAGTATTAAAAATTATTTAAAAATTAAAAAATAACAAAAATACCTAGACTAAAAGTAGAAGAATATGATACCTAGCTATAAGCCAAGAACTAAATCTGTTTCAACTCAAAGACTACAGCTCATGAAAACTTAATCATTTTCAGATATTTAACTTCTAAATAAAAGGTAAAGAAATATACTATGTTATACACAGGAGAAAATTCCAGACATAACTATAATTTAAAAGCAATGAGCTGTACCCAAACTTATGGTCTCTATCCCTGAAAGGTAAGTGTTTTACCTCCATTTTAAAAATGAGAAAACTAAAGTTCAAAGAGGTTAAGCAATTTGTCCAGTACCAGGTAGTACCTGGATGGGACTGTGACTCTAATACCAAAGTCATTACTTAAGAGGAATATAGGGGCCTCCCTGGTGGCACAGGCGGTTGAGCACAGCGCTGTGAAGCTGTCCGCAGCCTCTGCAGTGCCGGTTCGATCCCCGCCAGCGCCAGAGCAACCCACATAGTGAAGCAGACCTCTCCTATCTCGCCCACTGCTCCCCTCAGCAGTGTATATCGTCAGTCTGCCTGTTCTGTTCCCCACTGTCTCTGGTGAATACTCTCACCCTCCAGCACATCTGGCCTGTACCCCGTTTCTTGTATAAATAAAATAAATCTTTAAAAAAAAAAAAAAAAAAGAGAATATAAGCAACACATACCCGGCTGTCTTGGTATCTGCTGTGTGGACTCCACCTTTGATCTTCCCTGGTGTAAACGTTATTTCTGTTGAGCCGATTTCTGCCCCCTCCAGCTGCCCATCACACAAATCTCGAATCATTTCCAGTCCAGATAAATGTTGAGGCCTTCAGGTCATAATACTGCATCAAAACGTGTGCATTCAGAGTGCCTATATCCCCACATTTTATGACACATTTATAAAACTGCAATGGCAAGAAAACAGCAAGTGCTATATCTTCAGTGTTAAGGTTTCATTTTGGATCTTATGCATGAGACTATGGGCTACCTGTTAACCTTCATCATTTTAAGGGTTCCTTCCAGACCAGTTATTTTGCCTACAAACACATACACTCATATATTGTTGCAAATGAAAAGTGTGCAAAAGAAAGTAAACTACCTAAGAGCCACTAGTCTCATTCTACCAAATAATCTATGGCATCTGTTATGGGCAGAACCGTGTTCCCTGATGTAACAGCAGGAAGGGCCAGAGCAGGATCTCTATGATCCGAACAGATGAGGTAAGGGGTGCCAGGGTGGGGGGGCCAGGAGGCTGGCAGGCTTCCCAGCCCCCAGCAAGTCTTCGCTCTTTTTGGGCTCTCTGACATTCTCTCTGCTTCTCTGCTCTCCTGCTTCTCCTATGGTTCTGCTGGCGTCCCCGTGACGCCGCCCATACAAGTGCAGTCTCAGCCCAGGTGTACCCACTTACCCACACCCTATTCCAGGTACCCGCCATCAGGCATGCACTCAGGACCGCAGGGATCCACCATCTATCCTAATGGTGGGAGGGCAGAAAAGCCTGATACTTTTTACCTTACCTTACCCTACACCTGAAAATTCCTATGTTGAAGAGTAAACTCACTGCACCTAGCCAAGAATGTGACTGTACCTGGAGATAGATCTGGAAGGGAAGACTAAAGAGAGGCATTTATGGTGGGTCCTAAACCATCTCACTGGTATCTTTATAAAAAGAGATTAGGACAGACAGACACCAGGGGCTGCATGGGGACAAAGAGATGCCCATATAGACAAGATAAAGCAGCAGTGAGAGAATGGCCGTCTCCAACTCAAGGACAGAGGCCTGGACCAATATCTCCCTTTTGATACTCAAAGGAAACCAACTTTGCTGGCACCTTGATCATGGTCTTCTGTCTTCCAGAACTGTGAGGAAATAAATTTCTGTTGTTCAGGCCACCCAGTCTGTAGTATTTCCTTATGGCAGCCCAAGCAAACTAACAGTAAAGTTTCTACACAGTCTTAATGAATCGTATTCCCCTATTACTAAACGATCAAACAGCTGCTGTGACGAAGGGAATTAATATTCCTCCATAACAATAACTAGCTTTTAATAATTTCAAAATGGAGTGTAATAAAATTAAAAGCTAAGAGATAAATGATCTATTACAATGGAATATAATTACACAAAATTCATACAAAGGGATCAGTTTGGCTTCAACCTAAGTGCTTTTCTAAGAGGTGCACATACCTGAAGCTTATCTAGAGGCACACCTAATTTACGGCCGAGTAAATGAGGTCAAAGTGTCAACATTTTCTCCTCTGCACAACCAGTAATGTTGGTCCTAGTCTCAGCTTTTTCCCTAGAGGTTTGATTGGAAACTGGAATCAAACATCTCAGTGAATCCCTGTTCCTAGATTCTAAAATGTGTGGAAGCACAGAACACATTGGTTAAAAAGTGTTGTTCCTCTGCCCTAAAGGCAGCTCTGCCCATTCAAGACTCTCCAGGCCTTGGAATGTTTGGTGAAGCTGGGAAACATTTTAAAGATGAACTCTTCAGGGATTGAGACAACATGGTCCTATTCGCACAAAATACATACATAGAGAAAACGTGCTCCTATTTTCTAAACCTGCGTCTTGAGGCTTTTAAGAATTCACATTCCAAAGCTGTCTGTAGGTTCCTCAGTCTACTAAAAATGGAGCTACCATACAATCCGGCAATTCCACTACTAGGGATCTACTCAAAGGACACAAAAACATTGATTCAAAAGAACACCTGCACCCCTATGTTTACTGCAGCACAATTTACAATACGTAAAACCTGGAAACAACCCAGATGCCCAAAAATAGATGACTGGATCAGGAAGATGTGGTATATATACACAATGGAATATTAGTCAGCAATTAAAAAAGATAAACTCATGTAATTTGCAGCAATGTGGATGGAGCTAGAAGGAATTATGCTCAGTGAAATAAGCCAGAAAGAAGAAGAAAAATACCGGATGGTCTCACTTATAGCAGGAATATAGGGGAACCAAATAAGACATCAGTGTAAAAAATAATAGTACAAAACACAACCAAGCAAAAGCAATTAATTATACATCAGAGACATCCTGCAGGGGAGGAGGTGGGAGAGTGATCAGAGGGAGGGAGGGAGGAGCACAGGGGATTGAGGTGATGGTGCACGGGTGCATTGGTGAAGGAAACTCTATGGGGACCACACCTGAGGGGGTGGGGTAAGCAAATATTGTTTAAAATAAACAATGATGTAAAAATTTAAAAAATTAAAAAAAAAAAATTCCCATCCCAGGCTACAGCTAATGGCCCAAGCAGGATCGCCATTCCCGGGACGCTGCCACCCCGCCTTCAGGTACCCCGAATCTGGAATCCGCCCACCTTGCGCCCCCCAGCCACACCTCCAGCTCCGACCCCCGCAACCCCAGTCCCACCCCCACCGCCCCAGGCCTCAGCCCCAGTACAACCCCTCCCCGCCCTCCCGCCCCAGAGCCCCGAGGTACCTCAAGCCCGGGTGCTGCGGCCGGCTCGGATTTTCTGCACTCGCAAGGGGAGGCCCAGGAGACAGCTCAGGGCCGTGGAGACCCTCAGGATCTGCCCGCCCTGCCAAGGGTGCGCGCGCGGAGAGAAAAGACAACGTGAGCGCGAAAGCCCTCCTCCAGCAGGGCTGCAGAAGCAACCCGCCTTCCCGGGGGCTCCGCACTCACCCCTTCCATGATCCCGCCATCGACCTCCACCAGCTGCCCCGCCATGGGGGGCGCTCCGGAGTCCGGCCCGCCGCGACGGAGCCGCCGCCCGAGCAGGAGGCAGGGGCGCAGAGGCGGGTGCCGCAGCTCCGAAAGCTCGGTGCGCGCTCGGGGCAGCCGGACCTCAAGGGCAGGCGGAAGAAGTCCCGGTTCCGGAAGCTGGATCCAACAGAAACGAACCCCAACACTGCGCGCCCGGATCCCAGGTGGCACGACCCGGAGCCTGCGCGCGCGCGCCTCGCTCGGCGCTCCCGGGGGCGGTGCCCAGAGAATCCTGCTCCGGAATCGGAAACTGCGCGTGCGCGCGCGTGGGCCCGGGAGAGGCTCTGCTGCACCCCAGGAAGTGTGAATCTGGACACGAGAAAACCCGCAGCTTGCAGACACCCCTGTTTCAGCTGTCACCGTAGTCCCCAGTTATGACAGGCTTGCGCAAAGATCTGTGCTTACCTTGGTTTTCTCGAGGATCCTGCAGTGCCCTGAACTAGGAACACACGTAGAGCTGAAGATGTGGGAACGATCCGGACCCCTTTACTTTTTTAAAATTTTATCGACTCCCTTTACTTTTTTTAAATTTTATTTTATATAAATCTTACATCGTTTTTCATTTTTGCACAATGTATGCATTTTCATGTTGGTTATATTGCCAATACAATTCCCACCCCCCTTATTTTGACCCCAATCCCTACTCTCCCTCTATAGTGTGTCTCTGGTTTATAGTTGCTTGTTGATTTTGATTTTTACTTTGTATTACTTAGTCTTTTTCCTGGTCCCTTATTTAGGTTTTCTAAATTCCTGCTATGAGTGAGACCATCTGGTATTTTTCTTTTTCTTTCTGACTTATTTCACTGAGCATGATCCCTTCCAGCTCCATCCATGTTGCTGCAAATTGCATGAGTTTATCTTTTTTGATTGCTGAGTAATATTCTGACTCCCTTTATTTTTTTTTCTGCTTGTGCCTTCTCTGCAGCCTGTAACTTGAAGTGTGTGTGCCATGGTGTATTGACACCTTAAGCTTCGAGTTCCCCACCCCGTATATGTGTTTGTGTAGAGTATTATCTCTTTCTGTAGTGAGATGCGATTTGTGCATGGGTGGGAAGAGGCAGGATTAGAATCAATAATCTAAAACTGTGAAAGCCGACGGTGTGCCACCTTGTCCTCGAGTGCGGGCGCGCTCATGTTCAGGGGACCAGTGCAACTAATCCAATTCCCCTCCCACCAGAAAAGAAACAAGTCAGGTTCTGACTCTTGCTTGTGGCTCAATTCAAATCTTAATTGAGTTACCAAGTTATATGCAAGTCTCAAGGTAAGCAAAAAGTAAGGCAGTTTCTACCTCTTTGTCATTGGAGGTATATTGGAAAGACGGAGAAGTAATCAATTACAATGTCACCCACAATAAAATAAAAATAATTAACATACACTTATCTTACAGTTAATGAGTAAGGGAGAATAGCAATTAGAATGTGATAAGTCATAAATAACAGCCAATATTTACTGGAGGTCATGCACTGCATGCATTTAGAACCTCTAGAAGTACCGTACCAGTTTTACCTGTTTTACAGCTGCGTATATTAAACAATTTGCTACTACACAGTTCTGATGTGAATGCTTCTGTCTCCTAATGCCAATGTTCTACCACTTGTGTGACAGAGAATTTTCTGGAAATGCACACACTGTTTACTCAACCCAATCTGGAACATCTCAGTATTGTCTCTGGGACTTGATATAACAGATTAATCTGGGTAGTAATCATATTTGCATATTAGAATGTTGACTTTGATAGCATGTGGAGGGTGAAAGAGTCCTAAGAGGCTGAAGAGAAAAATACCAATGATGCAAGCAAGGGATGATAGTAGAGCAGTAGTGGTGGGGATGAAATATAAAAACCCTACTCCTGATTATCTGACACATGGATTCCCATAACAGAAAGTTATCCTTCTCAGAAGAATATTGGTCTTCTTCATTTCTAACCAGGCTATGACATCTTTGCTCTGACCTCATCCTTCTTCACTCCAGCTATAGACAGAAGGGAATAAGACAGTCATTTAACAGAGAGACTAGCCCTTGACAACCTCATTGAAATCAAGCGTCGTATCTTTTCTTAGCAGTTCAACAGAGAAACTAGCCAGGCAAGAGTAGACAATAAGTGCTTGTACATACACTTGTATATACACTTTCTGTGTTAACTGTTCAACGTTGTTATTATTTTCATTGAGCCAATGGATAGGTATTTTCCTAGCTTTCCAAAACTTAGGATTGAAGTGACATGCTGTATATGTGGAGCATAACAAGTGACATAACAAGTAAGTGGTAGACTTGGGTTAGATCCTTGGGTCTTTCCAATTATTTGCAAAGAAGGAACAGCTAGAAACACAACAAATTCCTCAACAAGAACAATGGAAATAAAAGTCAGTGATTCAGCTTCTGTATGCATAATAAATAAATCTTAAAAAATAAATAAATAAATATTATTTAGACAAAATAAAACACAGATGCATGTGTAAGATAAATGAATCTGGAAAACATTATGCTAAGTTAAAAACAATGGGCCTTCTTAATAGATGCTGTGTATTTTGTACAATCATGTTGTAAAACAATTTAGCATTCCATATCTTGAGTAAAGATATACTAATCAAAGTGTAGTTGGCTAATAGCATCTTTATCAGCCAGAACTTGTTGGAAAAGCAGAATTTCAGGTCTCGCCCAGAACGATTGAGTTGGAATCTGAATTTTAACAAGATTCACAGTTGATATGAATGTTGATTACAGTCTGAGAAGCACTGTGCTAAAGAAACTCTTGCAGGTGCCCCAGAAGAAATTAAAAATATGCATAACAGCACTGATAGCAATAGCAAAGAACTTGAAACAACACAAGTGTACACTGCATAGGGACAGATAAATAAATTGTGATTTCATCATAAAAGCTAATAGCAGAAAGACACAGTTTGATACCATTTTGTAAGACTCAAGAAAAAAGTAAATGCACACACACACAAAGGAACTGTTAGTATAAACATGCACAATGCAAGGTAATGGTTATCTCAGGAAAGGAAAGGTTAAGAAGAGGAGCAAAGGTAATCTTCACTAGCATAGGAAATGTTCTGTTAATGTGGGTGGTAGGTTCAAGGATTTTGTTATTATGTGTGACTTATCTGTTAAAACAATTTTAACAGCTTTTCAAGGTATGTATACATACATGCACACCATAAAATTCACCTGCTTTGGGCCTCCCTAATGGCTCAAGGGGTTAAGCACAGCACTGTGAAGCTATCTGCAGCTTCTGCGGCAAGAGTTCGATCCCCGGCCAGGGAGGTGACCCACATGATGCAGCAGACCTCTCCTGTCTCGCCCACTGCGTTCCCCCTCAGCAGTATATTTTAGTCAGTCTGCCTGTTTTGCTCCCCAATCTGTCTCTGGTGAATCCTCTCACACATACCTGCCCCCCCACCTCTGACCTGCACCCCAGTTCTTGTATGCATAAATAAATAACTCTTAAAAAAAATTTCACCTGTTTTAAGCGTACAGATTTTTTTTAGCAAATTCATAGAATTATGCAAGCATCTGGTAACAGGAAATTTCCATCACCACAAAGAGCTTTTTCTTTAGTCCCTTTGTAGTCAATCCCTAGTCCTATGCCCTTGCCTCAAGCAACCACTAATCTGCTTTCTGTCTCTGTAGATTGTCCTCTGGACATTCATGTAAATGGATCATGCAATATGTGTTAAAGCATGCATCAGTGCTGTTACAGCATATTTTGTTTATCCATTCACTTGTTGGAGAATATTTTAACAGGTGAATGTTTCTAGTTTTGTCTATTAACAGCAAGCCTTTGCCATCACTCTTACTCGCTTGAGTTCCTTGCTTCTTTTAAACTTGAGTGAAAGAATTAATTATTGAATAGATGGTTTATCCTCTGAAGCTGAAAGGAAAAGACACATAATGCTGAATCTGGAAGTAATAATCCACTGTAAGTAAAAGTAGTAAATGTAAGTAGTAAAAAAGAGGGTAAGAGACTAGATATTTTCTCTGGAGAAAGTAGAGTTGAAGGGAAAGTAAAAAGAAAGTGGTGTTGGTTTCCTGGGACGAAAAGTAACTTTCTGGAAAGACACAATTACTACCTCATCTTTCTATACAAACACCTGCATGTGAGATCTTTAGACATACTGATAATGCCTATAAAATGTTTGACTAATGAGAAAGTTAAAAAAAATTAGTTATTTGGATTGGCACAGATTTTCTCATATAGGTAATGATTTAGATTATTAGAATAATGTGTGTGAAATACACTGAAAAGCAGGTGAAGCAAAATAAAAGTGTCAATTTGGGTAATATTAGTAAATCTGTGAAATACCTGAGAATTTCTTTCACAGTGACTAATCTTTAATGTTAAGCATAATGTCTTTATTCGGATTTCCCCCCCCTTCTGTAATTCTTTAGACATCGGTGCAGGTTTTCATTCCTATGTAAAAGGCAAGAACCGACAAATGTCATCTTGGACATCTTTAGAAACTGGTTTTCTACTTTTGCGCACAACACTAATGATAAAGGGCTGATCACAAAAATCTACAAAGAACTGATGAGACTCAACAAAAACAAAGTAAATAATCCAGTCAAAAAATGGGCAGAAGAGCTAAAAAGAAACTTCTCCAATGAGGAAATGCAAATGGCCAACAGGCAGATGAAAAAATGTTCAGCATCGCTTGTAATCAGGGAAATGCAAATCAAAACTACAATGAGATACCATCTTACACCAGTGAGAATGGCACATATTAAAATATCTAGCAATAACGAATGTTGGCGAGGTTGTAGAGAAAAAGGAACTCTCCTGCATGCCTGGTGGGAGTGCAAACTGGTACAGTCACTATGGAAAGCTGCATGGAGATTCCTCAACCTGCTAAAGATGGAGCTTCCATATGATCCAGCAACTCCACTCCTAGGTATTTACTCAAAGGACACAGAAACATTAATTCAAAAGAGCACCTGCACCCCTATGTTTATAGCAGCACTATTTACAATAGCTAAGCTATGGAAACAACCCAAATGCCCCAAAATA